GACATACTTTACGGAAAACGTTAAACTAGATTATATAGTAAGCTTTAAATGCAAATGTGCGGTTATTGTAGTGATTGATAATTCCTTAGTATTTGACTAGGTGCTAATTGTAAACTCCAAATATAGTACGTTTTGTAGTTCTCATCTAGTTCTGCATGTCTCAAGTTGGGTTACTTCGGGAATCCTTTGTTAGCGAATCCATTCGAATACCTTTAATTACCATAAAATCCCAAAGTCCATAGGGAGATATGCAGGGCGACGAGACATTGCTCCATCAATCGCAAGCAAACATTAATACCGCGAACGCTACTTGTAAATAGCAAACAAAGACAAGAATAGAGATGCTTGGAGATCCCTAGCTCCCTGCCTATGCTCATGGAGCTTCAAGTGTCTTAAGGCAGTAAGCAATTAAATTCTCAGTTCCTGATGTGATTAGACGATATTAAGTCGAAACGTACAAGGCGTAGATTTGTGGGTTCATAAATTCCACTGAGACTTAAGAATAGTTTTTAGATGTAGAACAATGGGGGTCAATACATTTCTTATTCCATCACGCGAAATCTCATGATGCTATTATTTTCATTGGGATTCGATGTATCTCATTGACTTATTCCATAGGTTTATTTTTTCCACATCGCGAGAATGCATACAAGAACCGCGGTAATAAATAATTTTGATTTCTACTCCTTGTAAGATCATTAAGCAAAAGAGGCGAGGGATAAGGTAGCGTCCTAAACTCTCCGTTACGCAACCTACTGAAGAAACAGATACAATATCGGTAATTTCATCTTGTGCTCGTCGCTGTTTGAAACCAGAGACTTAGTATTTCAATGTGAATTCTGTAGTGATTTGATCCACTGTCATTGTGATACTACATTACCTAGTCAGTAAAATGAATTCATTACTGCGGTTCTTGTATGTATTCTTGCAATGTGGAAAAAATAAATCAATCGAACCAGCCAATGAGATACATCAAATCCCAATGAAAATAATGGTATCGATCCCCAACAATATACACAAATCGTCCAACATAGACTCAATCAAACACTGGACTATGTGGACACAGCACGAATCCATATACCTATAAAGCTAACGACTTTCAAATGTCCCAGATACAATCTGTCGAGTCTCCTCATAGCAGTGGACAGTTGAATGATCTGTTGCGAACAAAAGTTAACCGTCTAAAGATGCCAACAAGTGGGCACATTTTAATAAAACCTTTACACGTAATGCCTTCATAATCGAACTATATCAACCCAATCAAATCATATGCCAGAAATGAAGAGGTTCAAAAATATGTTCAGAAAGCTATCGATATGTGGATGAGCGTTTGTTCTAGGTAGGCTAGTACTTGCAAAGCATGCGTAGCATTACGTACCCATTGGTGATCTGGTGACGATGCATGACTGGGCGTCTTCAGCTAGATGTGCTGAATAAAACTAATGGTGTCAGCATCAACGTTGAAGACTTACATAACCATTGATTTTGAGGACTTATTTACCGCTATGGCTCACTCCCTACTAGTGGAGTAGTGATGATTATAGAAAGTGGTCAGTTAAAATTTTAAACCCAGCTCCTTTATCATTGTTAAACATTCTTCTGATAGCTTGCTATAAGTAGCGGCATTTGACTGTTTTCCCCCTATATAAGAGGCAATGTGGTACAATGTGACAATAAGAAATGTGTGATGGTAATTCCTCGCCGGTTTCTCACATTTTCATGCCGTCTAGAGAAAGAAAAAGAGGAACCGTACGCACACGCCGGAACACACTAGAACACAAAACGTGCAAAAAGAGAAGAAAATTGGCATACACACATTTAGATAGTATGACATAGCATAAAATACTTTGTACAATGGTATTTTGGGATTTTTAGAGAAAAAATTTATACACAAATATAAACATATTGGGAAAATAGTTTTGTTTTCGACACAATGCAGGTTAAAAACATTCCTTGTCAAATGTTTATTTAAACAATCATTCTTAGCTTCTTACTTTCATCATTACTTGATATACTCAGTCATTATTCTTTTTTTCTTCAAGTCAATTCAATAATCGGTATGCCAAAAATTATGTTTGATTTTAATCTATGATTAATACTTTTATCGCCTCATTCAGACAAATCACCTCATCATTACTTACACCAACTCATTCTAATCATATTTACAAAAAAGATAAGAGAATATATAATGAGTTGTTTTCATTTTAAAATGTTTTGGCTGTATGGATGTTCGAGAGTAAACTTCATTTGATTCGTATGACAAATCATCTCATTATTGTTTACAATAGAGTGCAAAGTCACATTGATAATTAGAGTATTATTTTGGTTACATTCACAAAAGATAAAAGAATATAATTTGTTTTTGTTTTTTTGTTTTAAGATGTTTTATCATTAATACCGATGTTTAAGAGAAAATATCAAATTCTTTATAAGAATTTAGTCTGTTAAGTACGAAAGTTCACAGACAGTAAAATATCTTCACGTAAACAATGAAGCAGTTTGAGTAGAGTTGGATGATAACTGAATATTGAGAGAATCATGGTTAGTCTTCCAATATTACTACTACACTTAGGACTGCTACTCCTCCTCCTCTTCCTCCTACTCCTACTCCTACTACTACTACTACTACTACTACTACTACTACTACTACTACTACTACTACTACTACTACTACTACTACTACTACTACTACTACTACTACTACTACTACTACTACTACTACTACTACTACTACTACTACTACTACTACTACTACTACTACTACTACTACTACTACTACTACTACTACTACTACTACTACTACTACTACTACTACTACTACTACTACTACTACTACTACTACTACTACTACTACTACTACTACTACTACTACTACTACTACTACTACTACTACTACTACTACTACTACTACTACTACTACTACTACTACTACTACTACTACTACTACTACTACTACTACTACTACTACTACTACTACTACTACTACTACGATTACTAGACGTTACTTAAATTGTCAGGAATTGGCCTGTTCGAGTTTCATTTGGTCTAGTAATCCAAAATTATAAGTAGTCAATAATTCCGATCATAATTGTTATAGTTCAAGTTGTATATATCCAGATGAAGTATATAGTGGGAATATCTTTGTGATCTGTAAACGTCAATCGTAAAAACATTGGAGTTCTGTTATCATAGCAACAAGTAATTGAGAACAAGTGACATATTTGTGTAACAGTGTATTTATGAACGGTAATCAGTGTGTTGTGCTAAGGGGGAGAGATTGAAAACGGGGGATAGTAAAGATTCAAGGTGATGCATTGTTAAACATCTATTTTACAGTCACTTATAGTAAATGTACAACTTATGAAAATTAATGAAAGTAATACAACATAAGTTTGTCCTTTCTTCACAATTTTGTAACTCTACGAAAATGATGTCATCATTTGCAGTTAGATAACATTTCACTGACATAAGTAATGAAGCAATTGACACGTTATCGTGTCTACTCACTCTGTGGTCATCAGTTTGCACTTGCTTGAATTAACAACAAAGTAGTAAAAGTATCTCTATAATGTATCAATGTTATGTCTTTGAATGAAACAAGTATCGTTAATATGTATAGTACACAACAGCGTGGTTGACTTATGTTACAAATACTGAGAGATACACTTGTATATCTCACATTCACATCTTTTTTGATCATGTGTTGTTTCATACTGTAGATGCGCTACTCTGTCTTCCCACATGAATAATGACAAACATTGTGTCATTTCGACCTATGTGTAAGTAAATAGGAGAGATCAATCTGTAATGTTTCGTTTCCACTTACTGACACTTGGAACCATCATTTTCTTTCAGTGGGATCAAATTGTCACTAATATTCGTTGTTTGGATTCTTCATTATCATTTGAGTCTATCTCGTACATTTACACACAATAGATAAAATATTTATTGGTAGTGACCGTAGGTTCTCTCATTCAATCAGAGACAGTTGCAATCTATAATCGTTCTCATGAAACGTTTATCAAAGTATCTAATATTCCTCAATAATTGGACCCTATATATATACGAAAGGATGAAGAGGGATTGGTTTACTATCGATCTGAATATTGATCTAAAATCAAAACGGTATAGATGACTATACTAATTCAACTAATACTACTAGAAACCATAGAGTTTTAAATTTTCGATTATCTCAATAAATAATTCACTGGCCAGCATGAATCCCAATAATTTCATTGTAAGTAAGATTCATCATGACTGAAACGTAAACATTCGAACAAAATTCGTAGCACTAGACGGCCGTTTCATTCTAATATGAGACCCCTCGACAGTACTCAATCGCTATTCTTCACACTGGAATTAGTCCTACGATTTGCGGGCTAGTGGATGAATGTTTAACTGCTAGACAACTGAACCAACATCAAACAGTATTCATGTCTAACATCAACCATTCCACGATAATGCGTGACCATCTTCCATTGACTTCAGTGAGTGACTGTTTCATACCCAAAATGATTTTACTTTATTGTCCACGGATTCCTGAAAGAACTATAAGAACTCTCTCTCTCTCTCGAAGCTTAGTCACTAGTGAGCACATAATAGTGATCTAACTTTGATTGATCTATGATCTCAATGAAACCCAACAATTATCACAGTCCTAGCATTGAACAATCACAACACTGATAGTAGAAAATTACCATCTTTTTATATCATTCCTGTCTAAACTATTCAGTCTCTAAATTATGCTCATTACAACTCATTCTACTGAGGGATGAGATAAATTAAGCGCAGGTTTATATGTGTGTATGTTTGTATGCATAATACATATTGATCATTCATACTGTGTATAGTTTTCTTTTTACTCAACAAATACAAATCAGTTATTTTCAATCACTTTAACTTAACCAATGGTCATCATTATCTAATAATATAAATATAGAAGAATCGACAATGATGTTTCATTGAATATGTGGCCCTTATATTTATGTCTTATTAACCTGATGTTGGGAGTTATTCAGGCAAGCCAATATGAAAACACGTTCTCGGAAATATGTAAATACATTTTAGTAAATATATACTGTACAATCAATGTTTTATACTGTTGTATATAAAATGCAGTTCCATATATGTGATTAATGGTAGATAAAACATCTTAATTAAGATCTTCCTTCTTCAAATTCAAAATATTTTCGTTTGTACAATTGATTGATCACTAGGTGGTGATCAATGTCATACATCTCAGATCATTTTTAGTGCAGATCGAATCCTACCGATCAAGTTGATATTGAGCAACTAGTCTTAGTGACTCAACATTGTGTTAACTATGTTGAGATAAGATAGTGATTAGAGGTAGTCAACAGAAAAGCCTGGACCTAATGTTTCTTGCTATTTTGCACTCGTCAGAAGGGTAAACCTATAATCTTAAGGGAACCGATACTACCTGATGAATTCGATCCTGTACCACCCAATTTCACAGTCAGAGATGTTAACACTGAGCTATGCAAGCCTCGACTGGCCTCCAGGAGGACTCAGATGAATTTAAAATTGATTGATCACTAGGTAGTGATCAATGTCATATATGTCAGGTCGTTCTTAGTGTAGATCGAATTCTATCGACCAAGTTTGCATCATGCCATATATTCTACATCATAAAAGTATTCGAATTCAATGTATTCTGAAAACTTTCATGTATCGTTTAGAAAGAAAATTATTCAATGACATTATGCATTTCTGACTTGTATAACCTTTCTTCTTATTGAATAAAATTACTGACTGTATCCAAGTTATGTATCCATCTAATTCTTATATGAGTATTGATAAGGTAACAGCCTCACCAGTCAATTGGTACCTCTTAATTGTATACATAGTAATAAGAAGACTAATCAGTTGCAGTCCTAAACAACAATCGTAAGCTACAAATAAACAACACAAATTAAATTTAAACTTTTCACCCCACTGTACAAGTAGGTGGTTATTTGGACTCAGTAGCTAAATAGATAACGCAATGGCGTTTGAAGTGAATGGTACTGGGTTGAAGTCCTGGAGTAAACAGCGACACTGAGGTGCAACTACATCCAGGTGACGAGTCCTAAATAGGAAGAAACGTGCGTCCTGTATTCTACTACTACCTACTAACCATCTTTGATTATTTTTGATTGATTTCTCTTTTGCAGATAGCTACCAAAAAAAGATGGGTCTGTCAATAGTACTGGAAGAATACAAAGGTAACCTGTTATTTAGATTTGTTTGCATAAATAAACTATCAGTCGGTCAATCATTAACGACGTAGAACTTCGTACGTACGTACCTACGTACATCAGTTCGAGTTGCCACACCACATTAACACATATACAGTTGTCGATTCAAATCCCGTAGTGGTAGAAGAAATAAAAGTATAAGCAGTAATCAGAAGCATTAGGGTTTGAAGATGTTATTTAAAGAGTATAATCCAGTGAAAGGGAAAAAAAAGAGACAAGGAGGATTCAGGAGATTAAAATTTTGAAGAACACAAAGAGTTGATGCGCCTGCGCCATTGCAAAAGATTTTGAGCCATGTCATTCAGGGTCTCTAACCGTCGATTGTTATCATCTCGCGGTCCTCAACCAGGTAGTCTACACCTACCAACATGACTCAGTTCACTTGTCAGCGACTTCACGAACTTGTGCCATGTTTTGTTCTGGCCTTCCTTAACTTTCTTCAAACCTACTCTTATACCATTGAGCACCGCACGTCGCGGCAGTCGGTGGTTGGGCATACGTAACACGTGTCCCAGTCATCTCAACTGATCAAGGTTCACTACTTCATCAACTGATTTGCCATTCCTACCTAGTACCGTTCCCTAACAACTACGTCACTTACTAGATGGTCCGAGGATATACAAGCAATGCTTCGAAGACACCCATGATCACCTACTGATAACCTACGAATATCCTCTACTCTTACCGGCCATCTTTCACTGCCGTAAGGTAGAACGGAACGAACTGCTGCGCAGTAAACACGTCCTTTGTTTGATGAAAGGATATCTCACCTACGCCATAAATGACGCAATTTGGCAGGAGCTAGTCGAGCCTGTTGTATCCATGCTGAAATTTCGTCACATACTAGACCACAAGAGCTGATGAGACTTCCAAGATAAGTGAAGCGGTCGACACAATCAACTACTTCACTCCCTATCATTAGTTCGGGTGTCGATACAACCCAATCCTCAGGCAACATTTTGCATTTTGAGGAGGAGAATCGCATCCCAAATGCTCTTGCATTGTTGCTTAGAGTGGTCAGAAGATTCTGCATTTTGTCAGCGTCTTCACCAAATAGAACTAGGTCAAAAAGTGAATCTCTCGGTAGAAGTTCAACCCCTGGAAATTCAGATGAGGAAAGGGTTATCTCTAATAGCACGGCAACGACAAAGAATGGAGAGAGTGGACAGCCCTGACGAACATAATTAAACTATAACACACTTGTATTCAATACATTTGTTTGTCTGTTTATAATGATATTTTGATATACAGAAAAGTATTTGGCTTAGTTTACCTACATACTGAGTGACATTGTGATGAACTAAAAATATATCAACTCAAAAATGATAATAAAGTTATTATGCCTGTCACTCTCAATGGAGCATAGGCCACCGACCAGCATTCTACAACCCACTCTGTCCTGGGCCTTCCTTTCTTGTTCTATCCAATTGTTGTTAATTTTTCTCATGTCTGTCTCCATTTCTAGACTTAATGTGTTCTTTGGTCTTCATTTTTTTCTTTGGCCTTGAGGATTCAATATGAGGGCCTGCCTTGTGACTCCGCTAGGTGCTTTCCTCAATGTGCATTCTATCCACTTCCAGCGCTTCTTCCATAATTTAGCGTATTAATATATCTTAAATATACTGAAAAATGTGTTTCTTGTGGATATCACGATAATTTAATAGTTGGGTTCATGAGTCTATTTCGTGGATTAGTTGAAGTTATACATTAACACCATTGGATACCGACCAGCTCAGTGGTCTAAAGTTTAAGCGTTCGTACACGAGACTGATGGTGCTGAGTTCGAACCCCGTAGGGCAGAACCATGGATGTGCACCACTGAGGAGTCCCACACTAGGACAAAACGGCCGTTCAGTGATTCCAGATTTTCTATCATGGTGTAGTTTCAATTGACTCATTAACTCAATTATGATATTAATTATCATTTATAAACACAAGACCTTACTTAAATTGTCAGGAATTGGCCTGTTCGAGTTTCATTTGGTCTAGTAATCCACAATTATAAGTAGTTATTAATTCCGATCATAATTTTTATAGTTCAAGTTGTATATATCCAGATGAAGTATATAGTGGGAATATCTTTGTGATCTGTAAACGTCAATCGTAAATGCATTGGAGTTCTGTTATCATAGCAACAAGTAATTGAGAACAAGTGACATATTTGTGTAACTGTGTACTTATGAACAGTAATCAGTGTGTTGTGCTATGTGAATAGTAAAGATTCAAGGCGATGTCAATGTAAATTTCATTAAAGTATACACACTATTCACAATAGGATCATTCAATTATAGTAATAGATCACAGAATGTATTCAACAGTTTTTGTATATACTCTTCAGTGTATAACAAATGCTAATTAGAATTATACATTGAGTTACCTCATCATATTGGGGTTTTTTCTAAAACTCATTATGAACTCAATATTCATTACATTCTAAATAGTTTTGTTTTTCTTCATTACGTCATCATAGCAACTTTAAAGATGGATGAAGAGAAGTTAAGAAATGTGACGAAACAAATTGGAATGCTGACAAGTAAGTTCATGCAGGATTTATGATGTCGCAAAGCATAAGTGAGGATAATAAACAGTGTTTTACATTGCACTTGTTGAAATCATAAGTCAATTGGAGCTAGACCATCATGGAAAAACTGAAAGCATTGGAAGCCCGTTTCGTCCTAGTATGGGACTCCTCAGTAGTGCGCATCCACGACCCCGCACCCCGCGGAATTTGAACCCAGGACCTATCAGTCTCGGCAACCAATGGTGTTAATGTTTAGCTTCAACCATATTTACTCATCTCACTAATGAATCTTTAACACACTGTGGTGTGAGCGACTTATATCCACATGAGTAGTATATAATGATAGTCGGGAATAGAATATATTTCAGTAGAACATCGAGAAGGAGAAAAATATGGGAACAGAAAGTAATTGGTATGAAGATGCAGAACGAATGAAATCTGAGACGATGGATTAATATTTACAATAGGAACAGTCAAGTATGATACCGTTGTTATACGTTCTGTAATTTTATATTCAAATACATTCGATTGTCACCAGTCATATACTTGTTGACCGCAATACTACATATTTGTATCAGAAGGGGTTTTGTGGCGATTATAGTAATTTCAGTAGTTGAGATCATTAGTCAATTGAAGCTAGATCATCATAGAAAACCTGAAAGTACTGGACGGCCGTTTCGTCCTATTATGGGACTCCTCAGCAGTGCGTATTCACGACATATTTGGTGATTATTTGATAGTTAGTTTGTGATTTTGAATTCACCCACTCCTGACGACCTCGAAACTGTTATACATTTTGTAACTCTTTTAATTTTACGAATTGGATACAGAAATTTGATTGAAGACATTTGATCATTATAGCTACGGAGAGTTCCACAAGTTGGGGTTTGATTGTTTATGAATTACCTTGAAAGATTTGAGTGTATCCATTCGATATCTTATATCAAAGAGAAATCTTACGATTACTCTACTTAAGTACTCCTGCTACCTCTCTTGGAAGAGCATAAGCTATCCACCAGCATTCTCCATTCAACTCTGTTCTACACAATCCTTCCCAGTTCTTTCCAGTTACTATTCATTCTTCTTATGTCTGCTTACAATTCTCGACACACTGTCTTCTTTCACATTCTCATTATCTGCTTCCTTTCACAATTCAAAGTTAGTACTCGCCTCATCATGCAGTTTGATGATTTTCTCAATGTGTTGTCCTATCCACTTCCATCGTCTTTTCCTAATCTCCTCATCAGTTGGAAGTTGGTTTGTTCTGTAACACAGTAGGCTGTTGCTGATGGTGTTCGACCATTGGACATTTCGTATCTTACTCAGACAATTGTTCATAAATACTTGTACACTTTGATGGCGGTTGTGATGGTTCTCGAAGTTTCAGCTGTATATATTAGTAGAAGTGTGTTGATGTTGGCGTTGAAGATTGTGACATTGATATTGGTTGAGAGTTGTCTTGAGTTCTATATGTTCCTCAATTGTAGGAATACTGTTTTTACTTTACTAATCCTCACATTTACATCTGCATCAGATCGTCCTAGTTGATCGATGATGCTGTTCAGAAGTGTGATGGATTCCATCTCTTCCAGAATGTCTCCATCAAATATGATTGTGTTGTATTTGAGGATCTTGTGTTTGTTGAGACCTACCAATGTTTTGAAATGACAGATGATTCATAAATAATCATATCATAATCTTCTGAAATTTATCCAAGCTATTGTGTTCAAACCTTGAGTGTATCCAATTGATGTACTGTATCATGGAAGTGTTTTGAGATTAGTTTTATTTACTTACGCTTGGTACTACTCGTAAAAGAGTATAAGCTGCCCATTAGCAGCTGATTACATCAACAGCAACTACGAGGTTCCGTAACCATTTTCCATTGTCTGAGGTAGATACCTATCCTTCCCTGACATAAATTAACTCCACTAATCGTGTCTTTTCACTAGAACTTCAAGAATCTAGTCACTAATGAACATATTAAGTTGTGGAAATTGTTGAGTTTGTAGTGATCTACCTTTATGAAGAGAAGGCGATTGGTTTAATGGAAACAATTATTATCATACTAACCAATTGTACCGGTGATCGTTTTACTGTACTTGGTTGTTTGACTGTACTAAAGACATTTTTTCTTCCGTTGATTTTGACTTTGCACGAATTCGGTTACGCTCAGTAGCCACACTTATACTTCTTTCGCACGATCTCGGTATTCGTTTGATACCACGAGATCGCCAACAAATACATCTCGACTACAGCCATCAAGTGCCTTTTGATATTTGGCCTACGGGGGATCTTATCAGTTAACAAAGCACACAGTCTTCCCGTAGTGGTGATTATAGTCAATCGCGACTCGACGCCACACTACAAGTTCTTGATCGAGATTAATTCAGTTATAAAGTTTCATAACAACATTCTATCATGATTACCTAACAACATACCTTACATTTGTTTAACATTATTATCGTTATCATTTTTTTCTTTAATTCATAAAATTGGCTGGATTCCAATTCATATCTTGATTACATAATCCTCTAATTCTATATGTTCTAATCATGAGTTCAATATTCTGGAACCTCTCTCTCTCTCTCAAAACTTTATTTATCTGAAATGAAAATTCTTTATGTTCTTATTAAACTCTAATTAGGATCTATGCTATAATATGTAATACATATATATATTTTCATTTATAATTCACTTTCATATTTGTAATGAGGTCAATATTTGTAATGATAATGAGAACATAATCAATGATGATGATCAAGGCCAAATAGTACGAAACTCGGATCCAGGATATCTTGTTGTCTACCTTCAACTACCATCTTATCACAACATATTGTACATAATATCAAGTCATCTAGACTAATGTCCATATTGCGAATTGGTCGATAGGATTCGATCTATACTAAGAAAGACCTGACATATGTCACAGTGATCACCTTACTTACTTACTTACGTACTTACGCCTGTTGCTTCCAATGGAGCATAGGCTGCCGACCAACATTTTCTAATCCACTCTGTACTAGATCTTCTTTTCTAATTCCATCCAATTCTTGTTTATTTTTCTCATGTCGGTTTCCATTTCTCGGCGTAATGTGTTCTTTGGTCTTCCTCTTTTCCTTTGGTCTTCAGGATTCCATGTGAGGGCTTGTCTTGTGACGCAGTTGGGTGCTTTTCTCAATGTGTGTCTTATCCACTTCCAGCGCTTCTTCTTGATTTCTTCCTCCGCTGGGATCTGGTTTGTTCTCTACCACAGTACGTTGTTGCTAATAGTGTCCGGCCAACGGATCTGACGTATTTTGCGTAGACAACTGTTAATAAACACCTGTATCTTCTGGATGATGGTCTTGCAGTGATCAGCACTTAATGATTAATCAATTGTAACTACATCTCAGTCCTATAAGAGGTCAGGATAGCTCAATGGTAATGTCTGTGATTGTGAAACTAGGTAAGACGGGATCGGATTCGTTAGAGAGTATCAGTTCTTTCAAGAATAATACAGATACATCTTGCTGACGGGTGTCAAGTAACACGAAACCTAGGCTTAGGCATTCCTGTTAACTATCTCCAATCATCATCTTATCTCAACATAGTGTACGCAATATCGAGTTAACTATGTAGTGGACAAGAACACAAGTGGGGACAAACAAATGTATTTGAATACAAATTTACAGAATATCTTATTGAAATCTGAGAACCATATAGTGAATACTTCATTTGTAAAATGTTAGTCAATCGTCTCACAATTGATTGTTCGTGCATTTCCATATAAATTGCTTTCTGTTCCCGTTCGTTCTTCCACGATCTTCTGTTGCCAGATATTCTAATCCTGACTATAGTTATATATTACTCATATTGATATAAGTAGCGCACACCACAACCTAGACTAGCGGCCACATAACAAATCGATCGATGGAATTCAATCTGCACCACCCAGTGATCGATCAATTATGAATCAACCTTCGTTTTTGCTCTCTCACTCACTCACTCAGATACACCTTACTGACAAGTGCCAAATAGCACGAAACCCGGATCCAGGGTTTCCTATTAACTACCTCTAATCATTATCTGATCTCAACATAGTGCGAACAATGTCAATTCACTTAAACTAGTGGTCACATTGCAACTTGGTCGATACCATTCAATCTGCACTAAGATGGACTTGACACACATGACATTGAACACCACTCAATGATCAATTAATTGTGATCACTCACTCTCCCTCTTTCTCTCTTTTGTTTTTTCCCTGTAAACATAGTTTAATGGCATAGTAACAAAATCATAAAACTGATTTTACACATTAAATTATTTTTTATATAGATGAAATCAATCAAAAACTCTCAAGGAAATCACTATCGATTAATCAATGTATGATAATGACATAATAGAATATAAACATTTAAATTATTCTAGATGTGGATTGTATGGGAAAAGTTTTAGAAGGTGATAATAGTGTTAAACAAACACAAGGTATGTTATTAAATAATCATGATAGGATATTGAATTGATCTTTTTGTTGTTGTTGTTGTTGTTTTTATCATTATTATTCGTGATCTCGATCAAGAAATCAACAGTTTCCACAACTTCATATGATCACTAGTGACTAGATTCTTGGAGTTCTAGTGAAAAGACAAGACCAGTGAAGATAATCCGAGTAGAGTGTGAGGTAGCATTTAGTCACCGAAGACAATGTAAAGTGATCTGATAATATCGTGGATTGATTAAAGTGAGACATTAAAAGCGTTGGATGACTTCTTAGTGGTCTAGGAGTTGGTTATTCGTGCACCAGACCTAAGGTGTTGAATTCGAATCCCTTCTGCCAACAACATCCCCCCACTTTCATCATACTACTCAAGTTTGTGCGTAGTATGTTTCAAAACAGCTAGCACACAATTTATCACTACCAGGCATCACATTGATCGATTGATGATCTAAATGATGAAAATAGTCGTCAATCTCCACATTCCTATATTGATAATTATTATGATGTACTGGCTGATGATTAGTGACTACCTTGGAGAGATAAATCTCGGAGTTGTGGTGAGAAGCCATCACTAGTGGAGCTGATCCATGCCGAAGAAGGATAAGTATCTATCTCAAACAATGGAAAATGGTTGCAGAATTTCGTGGATTGATTGAAATTAGACATTAACATTGGATGCCAGCTCAGTGGTTTATAAGTTATACGTTCGCTCGCGAGATTGAAGGTCTTTTGTTTGAATCTTACGTGCAGGATCGTGGATAAACACTGTTCATGAGTCCCACAATAGAACGAAAAGGCAGTCCAATACTTCCAGTTCTTCAATGGTGGTCAAACATTCATGGATTCATGATCTTAATAAAAAAAGTGAACCATCTCCATAACCCTATACTGATTATTATTAGTAGTAGTAGTGGTACTACTAATGGTTTTATTCAATACTACATGTTCGTTACAAAAAAACAGAATTCTCAGCACAAACTGTTTCAACAATTTTCTTTTCCAAACTAAAATTTAGGGAGAAAAAACTAATAACTGATTACAAATATACATAATACCAGAAGGAGTCTTTGTGGATATTGAAGCAGTTTCAATAGTTGAGATCATGAATCATTTGAAGCTAAACCAATATGAAAAACCTGGAAACACTGGACGGCCGTTTCGTCTTAGTATGGGATGCTCAAGCAGTGCGCATCTACGATCCTGCCTCCGAGATTCGAACCCAGGATTTTCAGGCACGAATGCTTAACTACTAGACCACTGAGTCGGTTGGTGTTAATGTTTAACTTCAACGAATCCACAAAATTGAACGACACATCCATCATCGTCATCAGTGAGTTACAATCTCACAACAGACCTTGTTGAACTTCATTGATTACTGCTTCTGATTAGAACTGAATTCAATAAATAAACTATCAAGAATCAAATGATATGTGTACTTTATCGAAGAAGATTTAAATCCATACAACTAGTTTAATTAGAAACATGTTTATAAATACAATTTATTAACTAAGTTAACTCAAACAACCCATTCGTCACCGAGTATATTTTCTAGATAAGATATTATAGAGTTTTCAATACATTTACTTATCCTCATAGATTCTAATGTATTGACATCTTGTTCTACCAGAGGAGATACAAAGAGAAAAATATGAATGAAGTGAATGATTAGGTATGATGAACTAAGAATCCAAGAAATAACGTAATTCGATCAAGAAGTACTAGATAAGCATGAACGAATGTACTGTATTTGGAATTCGAAATCAAGCATTCACCAAGTACAAAGGAATCATTAGTTCATTCAAACACCACATTAGGATCTGATAAGATAAGATCAGCTTAGAGTTTGAAAGATTTCACATGTCTATCAACAATCAATGTTAATAATGATCTGAAAAGATTCACTTTACACCTTACCCATTAACTGCCTTTGTAGTGAACAAGAACACTAGTGGGGAAAATCGAATTTGTTTGATACTCAACTACGGAGCATCTCACTAAAATCCGAGAACCATATAGCGAATAAATAACAATGGGAAGATACAAGTAAAACAACACCAATTGAATTTAAACTTCACCCCATTGCACAAGCAGGTAGCTATCATGACTCAATAGCTAAGTGGATAACGCGATGGCGTTTGAAACGACTGGTACTGGGGTCGAGTCCTAGAGTGAACATCAACTGTAATATGCAGATACATCCAGGTTACGAGTCCCGATTAGGACGAAATGCGCGTCCTGGATTCCACTGCTGGCCACTATTCATCTTTGCTTAAAAAGCTTGTGACTTAGGGCTATATCGAGGTAATCCCCACAGGACGTACATATGTCAACATGAGACTGATCAATTACAGTCCTAAATAACAATGGTAAAATACAATTAAAACAACACTAATTGAATTTACATATAGTAAATAGTTAATTTGCATAATATCAATCCATCGTCTCAAACTTGGCTGTTCCTTTTGTAAATATCAGTCCATTGTCTCAGATTTCATTGTTCATGCATTTTCATACCAATTGTGTTCCGCTTTCGTTCTTTCCTTATCGATCTTCTACTGAAATACATTCTATGCCTGACCACCGTTATATACCACTTATATGGATATAAGTAACCCATACCACACCTTGACTCATTGGACAACGCTGAAGGAATTTTCGAAGCTATTCGTTGCAGCTATGATTTCTATGTGGATATGTATTGACATAAATGTATATTATTTCTCTTAGTTGTTGTGATGTATCTATGGAATAAGATATCTATGCTGTAATATTGAATATAACTTATGTATGACATAAACAATCGAGTATGTTTCATTTGTTTAACTCTTTCGTTTAGATTTCATACTTATGATGGATAATATGGAAAGAAGATATCGTAAGTATCAGTATGAGGTTGTGAAGATTGTTGAGTTTTTCAGTGAGATTATGAACCGATTGAAGTTAGACTACCATTGGCTCAATGGTCTAGAGGATAAGCGTTCTCGTGTGAGACCAAAGATCCTGGGTTTGAATCCTGAGAGCGATATCGTGGACGTGTACTGTTTAAGAGTCCCACAATAGGACGAAACGATCATCCAATGCTTCCAGGTTTTAAATCGTGTTCGAACATCAATCGGTTCATGATCTCAATCAAGAACATATTTTAAGTGCTTGTAATAATTTGTTTAATAGTATCATGAACACTAGACATACTAACAGTTTTCAGAGGAATAAAGCTTATCATCTTATAATGTATACAATGCTTTATGCTAATGTAGTGAACGAGAACACAAATGGGGACAATCGAATGTATGTGAATATAAAATTACCCAACATCTTAGTAGAATCTGAGAACCATACAATAAATGCATCATTTGCCAAATATTTCTATACGAATAGCTTTCTGTTTCCATTCTTTCCTACTCGATCATATTGACCTTCTGCTGCTAGACATTCTATTCCTGACTAGCGTCATTTACTACTTATGTCGATATGAATAGTAGACACCACACCAACGAGCACCTCAGTTACGGGACCGCATCGTTGTCTGCAGTACAGCACCCTTTCCCCCTCCTTGTTGACAGCGACACCAAATTTAGTGAACGAGAACACAAGTGGGGACAATCAAACGTATTTGAGTATAAAATTACATAACATACTAGTTAAATCTGAGAACCATATAGTAAATACTTCATTTGCAAAATCTTAATCAATCGTCTCAGACTTGACTGTTCTTTCGTTGTCATATCAGTCATTCTTTGTTCTCATTCACTTTTCTTCGATCTTCTTAAACTACTGCCTCCAAGCATTTCATTTTCTATTGATGATGTATATTACTTATATCTGTTAACATCAGTAGCACATACCACAGCAGAACTATCGAACAGATGATTAATCAACTGTCATAATATAATAAATTCTTTAGAGTTAATACTATTCTTTCATAATTTATAAATGTGATTCTTTCATCATCATCATCATCATCATCATCATCATCATCATCATCATCATCATCATCATCATCATCATCATCATCATCATCATCATCATCATCATCATCATCATCATCATCATCATCATCATCTTCTTCTTCTTCTTCTTCTTCTTCTTCTTCTTCTTCTTATTCACAATAGCGTTATTCTATTTTATTTACATTGCATAGATGTGATGAATTCGAAAGCACCAGAATGGAAAAATTGTTATCGGAACCAATTAAGAATGTATCGTAGTAAGATTAAACATATGAATCTGTTCTAATGTATTATTTATTCTTTATGGTTATTCTTCCGGTCTAAATGTAATACAAAATGTTTTACTTATATTCTATCGTTCATTGTTATTTATCATTTAGTTTATTGTGATGATGAACTTATAGTATATTTACTAATCTAAGTGAATCCGTGTCGAATACACTATGCTATGATACTAGATGATTGAAGATAGTGAGTTAGATATTGTAGATTTAAGTTTTGTATTATATGAAAGTTGACAAAAATCTCTATCTACAATCTGGATAGAACTGATACTATGTGTAAGATTTTAATCCGAATCAAACAATTTCATAATTTCAGATGTTCCTATTGAGTTATTCGAACTATGATCACATCTGAAAGTCAGGTAGTCAGTCAGTTACAACGTAGGATCAGGGACATATATGCATCGGTCCAAGTTACCACACCTCATCAGCACAACAAGACGAACACCAGATTCATAGAAGTAGTTAATTCAATATTGGCAATATATAAAATAAAGATCGCATATACGGATGTAGTACAGGAAGAAAGAATTAGATGGTAGAAAGAGGGATATGAAGCAATTTTTATCTCATCGTTTAAGGAAAGACAGAGTGTCCACACCTCCACCATTGCGATCGATTCTGAGTCATGTCATACTCAGTCTTCATACATTAGTTACGATAGACAAGCGTAGCTCAACCAAGCAGTCTGCATCTGCCAACATGGTGCAGACTAGAAGTTGATGACATCAAGCACTGATGCTATATTTTGGTTTGGCCACCCCTAACTTCCTTCCAACCATCCCCAACACTATTCAGCATTGAGCGTAGTTGTGATCAATGTTCAGACACACGCAACACGTGGCTCAACCATCTCATTCGATAAATATTCACAACCTCATCAACTGATTTACCATCACTCCCTAGTACTCAGTAACTAAATGGATAACGCGATGGCGTGTGAAGCGAATGGTACTGGGTTCGACTCCTGAAGTGAACATCAACTCTGAGATGCATATATATCCGGCCGACAAGTCCCAAATGTAATGAAACGTGCGTCCTGGATTCCCCTGCTAGCCACTATCCATCTTTGCTCAGTACTTAATTTACTTACTCTTGTTACTCCCAATGGAGCATAGGTCACCAACCAACATTCTCCAACCCACTTTGTCCTGAGGCTTCAGTTCAAGTTCTATCCAATTGTTGTTCATTCTTTTCATGTTTGTCTCCATTTCTCGGTGTAATATATTCTTTGGTTTTCCATACACAATAACACCAAATGATGTAAATATTTCTCAAGAATTCAAAATGATTTAACTACTTATGATGGAATCAATAAGTAATATACAAACTATCATGTACGATATTTATTTCATTAAGATAAACAATTAAGTATGATATGGTAACTTGTCAAATTAATAATTAACAATTCTTTCTCATATCTCAATAGGTAAGTTGCCTGAAGTTAAAAAGAGAAGATGCAATTCATATTTAAAATCTAATGGAAAAGGTAACTTGGATTAAATTATACTGTCACTGTTAGAAATGCATAATTTAGATGAAATATTTCAATCAGATTTTGCTTACGTTACATATATATGTATACTTATCTACTCCTGTTACCTCTCGTGGAGGAACATAAGTAAATCACCAACATTCTCCATTCAACTCTGTCCTACGCAATTCTTTCCAGTTCTTTCCAGTTACTATTCATTCTTCTTATGTCTGCTTACAATTATCGACACACTGTCTTCTTTTGCATTCTCATTCTCTGTTTCCTTTCACAATTCAAAGTTAGTACTCGCCTCATCATGCAGTCTGATCATTTCCTCAATGTGTTGTCCTATCCACTTCCATCGTCTTTTCCTAATCTCCTCATCAGTTGGAAGTTGGTTTGTTCTGTAACACAGTAAGCTGTTGCTGATGGTGTTCGACCATTGGACATTTCGTATCTTACTCAGACAATTGTTCATAAATACTTGTACACTTTGATGGTGGTTGTGATGGTTCTCGAAGTTTCAGCTGCATATATTAGTAGAAGTGTGTTGATGTTGGCGTTGAAGATTGTGACATTGATATTGGTTGAGAGTTGTCTTGAGTTCTATATGTTCCTCAATTGTGAGAATACTGTTTTTACTTTACCAATCCTCACATTTACATCTGCATCAGATCGTCCTAGTTGATCGATGATGATGTTGAGAAGTGTGATGGATTCCATCTCTTCCAGAACATTTCCATCATGTGTAATTGTGTTGATGTTCTCCATGTTGTATTTCAAGATCTTGCTTTTTTTACTTGTTTGTGGTGAAGACTACTGATGCAAAGACTCGCTACACTAGATACCTTACCCCTAACTCAATGGTTTTCCAGTCTTGATAACTCTTAAACATTGAATATTCGACTTGCTACCTTTCGAGTGCACCCTGTTCACACGAAACTCAAGAAACTAGCTACCTTGTTGCAGTCTAGTCAAGTTTGCTATAAAGGGGATATATATATATGATTCGTTCCTAGAATATCATATCTCATCATTAAAAGTTGAATTAGCCTTTCTTTATGTTGTTCAAACACAACGATGCATAAAAGTTTAACTTACATCATTCAGATTATAGATTATAAAACATTGAGGATGGTTAGTTCGTCTTATGCATTGAAACATCACTAAAGATATTAGGAAATAATATAAGAAAGGGTTTTTTGTAGTTATTGTAGTAATCTCAATAGTTTAGATCATGAATCAATTGAAGCTAGACTGCCATGGAAAACCTGGAATTAATGGACGGCCACTTCATCCTATTGTTGAAATCCTCAGCAATCCGCATCTACAATCCCGCCTTGCTAGATTCGAACCCAGGATCTATGAGTCTCGAGCAACACATCCACCATTTTCTTCAGTGAATTACTGACTCACGAAAGCTCCGGCTGAACTCGACTGGTCGATTCTGAGAACAGATCATATTTTGACCCTTCAAGTAAAATCAATTCATGAATAAGTATATTTGATCTAATGAACAAGAAACTTATTTATTTCTCAGTTACATAATAAGTAAACTGTATTAATAATTTTTTTAATTAATACTCTGCCATTGTCAACTAATACAGACAAAAATATCTGGAAGGAAGTAATCCTTGAAATGAATTACAGTTGATGTTCGAATTTTATGCATTAATTGTTATGTAATTCGCAAGATACTAGAGAATAACACTCATGTGAATAACACCATTGTGAGATAGCAATTCACTGAAGACAATGGTGGATGTGTTTCATCGATTTCGTGGATTGGTTGAAGGTAGACATTAACACCATTGGATGTTGACCGGCTCAGTGGTCAAAAGGTTAAACGTTCGTGTGCGAGACGGATAGGTTCTGAGTTCGAATCTCGTGGGATGAGATCGTGTCTGCACACTCCTGAGGAGTCCCTCAATAGGACGAAACAGTTGTTCACTGCTTACAGGTTTTCCATGTTGGTCTAGCTCCAACTGACTCATGATCTCAACTATTGAACTTACTACAATCTCCACAAAACCCCTCTCTGATGATAACACTGATATTTGTCCGTTTATTTACATTGAATAAATTGCTTATTTTTTTCAGGTATTATCGGTCTTATAAACCTAGTGAAATCACAACGCACCTACATTAATCAATATAATACCGATTTGTGTAAGTAACTAGAATTTTTAGTGAGACTATGATTTATGAACGAACCAATGAAATTTGAGATAACAGGTCTTTGATTTTGGCGCAGAATTCGTTCATCCATTTGGTTAAATAGAGTCTTAGCATTATAGCTGATGTCAGCTCGTGATGAAAACCCTAAATTTAAATCCTAACCCTAACCATCAACTGTAAATCATAATCATTACTCTTCACACAGGTTTATAACACTTATTTAACCGTAGCAAGTAGGTGAACATCCCCAAGGTTACTTTAATGTCACTCAAATGTCATTCATAAATTATGGTCTCACCGTCCTTTTTATTCAGTAATAGTGTTTTTGAAAACTTATGAATGTAACTTAACAGTATGAATAAGAAAGATACAATATCATGAACTTGGAACGTCAATTACAGCCATTCGTTGACTAGTTGATTAATTGACTAACTGAATGATTAACTAATCCAAGCAGGAACAGATTTTCTGATCTCTTAAGATGTGAATTTGTCTTTGAAAAGCTGAATACTTGTAGTGTCGGTTACTATATTAAGCCTATATACCTTATTCTAGCTTGTGGATGCTCTAATTTATCCATTCTGTTTGAGTCATGTTTTGACCTTGTTAGTTATTCGCTTATGAACCTTGACTGTTTTCATTTGAGCGTATGTGTGTGCATTTCTTATCCCATTGATCACATGTCTGCAGCTTAATTTTGTGTGACTTTAAATATTGATTAACGCTTGGTTAAATGGATTGGCCCATATACCATCTCCACCGCACGCCATTTCGTTTCACTTCGCTCTCTATTCTTTGTTTCATTCGCTGCGATTCTCTGATTGTCTGTTCCGATCAACGAGTGTACAAAAAATATACATCTTCAAACATCCATTCTAGTATTTGGCTTATTTGATTCTGTTATACAATAAAGCGATTTAAGTCGATAATTATAAACGGTATGTATAAGTCGGATATTCGTGGGCCAATAAATGATTACACTAGAAATTATATATCACTCTATTAGTAAATTGATAAGAATTTTAAATGTTCAGTCATTCCAACTAATGAATATGCTGATTAAACGAGGTTAGACGATATATATACACATAGTTTGACAGCAATCATTTATACGATCTAACTGGGATCAGATCCAGGACTGCTCTAGTGATTTGTCCGCCAACAACATCATCAGATCTAATTTATGTCAAAATAAAGAGCCCCAATAGATACTAACCATATCAAAAAACTTTGGGAACGTTATAATATACCATCAAAATCGAACTATCTTTAACTGAGTCCATTAAACACTAAATTAAAACAAAGTCACAGATTATACAAAATCTAATTTCAAACAAGCCGCATTGATAATCCTTGATAAGTTAGTCCATAAGAAGTAAATAGTTGGTAAATCCATCAATAATTTTTTTTTTCCTATTTTCCCAGAGATCATTGTAGAACTATTTATGAATGAATGATTGTTCATGTTAGTTTTTATCAACAGAGTTTTACCGTGGTGTAATGTAACCGGTTACCTATCATGTAGAATCATAATACTTTTCTTTAATCTATTTTATTATTGTAGTAGCACATCAGTATCTTCTAGAAATTATCAATGAGATTTAAATTCTACCAGAATTAAGTAAGTCATGATATGAATAAGTTCTATTGGATCTTAACATACCCCATTACATGTATGTCAGGCTAGTAACAATTGAATAGTATGATATGCATATAAAAACATTAAAATAATGAACCAATTTGAACTAGACTATCATTGGAAAACCTAGAATCACTGGATGGCCGTTTCATCCTAGTATAAGACTCTTAAGCAGTATGCATTCACAACGATTCCACAAGTAAGACTCGAACTCAGGAACTTCAGTCTCACACTTTGAACAGTTTCATATGAAGAGCCAATGCCTATCTAGTGCTCCAAGGTTTTTAACAGTAATCGATTCTAATGAAATTCAACGATCTTCACAATATCATATTGAATGATCAATAACATAAAGAAAATACCGTCTCCAAAAAATCGTCAAAGGCGCGAATCGGCAAAGCAAGAGCAGCATATTTACAACTGAGGAACATCTGGAACTCAAAGCAACTGTCTGTCAACCAACACCAAGGTCAGGATTTTCAATACAAATGTCAAAACAGTTCTACTGTATGGGGCGGAAACCTGGAGAACTACGAAAGCCATCATCCAGAAGATACAGGTGTTTATTAACAGTTGTCTTTGCAAAATACTTCAGATCCGTTGGCCGGACACTATTAGCAACAACGCACTGTAGGAGAGAACAAACCAGATCCTAGCGGAGGAAGAAATTAGGAAAAAGCGCTGGAAATGGATAGGACGCACGTTGAGGAAAGCACCCAACTGCATCACAAGACAAGCCCTCACATGGAGATATACAACTTGACCAGTTCAATTTTAATTATATTATACAAGACCATAGAATTAAAGTGGATACGCTTCATTTACATGGTTCAAACATTTGTCAAGGTTAGAAAGCGGTTCAAAGGTTCTGAACTCATAATGCATGCGGTAGAGGATATTATCCATATAGGCTCTATAATAGTCGGCCTCCGAAGCCATGATAAGGTCGTAAAAACTCTTTCAGCCTAGATTACATAGCTTCAATATTGTTTGTGTGCACTCCGGTTGTCGGATCCATGAAGTGCCGCTTGTAGATAACGACATGATGCACATAATCAAGTCTATGTAGGCGTCTGTGCGCTCTCCAATCAATCGTATATAGTGTAGTAACAGACTGCAACCAGTGTTACTGGTGCTTCTGTTATCCAGTTCGCAACAACTGTCATAATTTGCCTTGGTCTTAATCTGAATCGGGCGAAAAATTTCATATTCTAGTAGGCTTTTTCCTTCAGCACATATTCCATCGAAAGACAACATCATCACGGTAGTCTGCACAATGTCCACAAGTCAGTTGATTATGACAATTACAAATAGAGGAATTTCTTAGTAATCCCATTTGTTGTAGTCGCTCAATTATCTAATTTTCCCTACAATCTTTTGTGAACCGATCGTACTTGAGAATCAGGTAGTGAAATTGGCGCTGCGAACTGGAAACCCCTCAAACGCTTTTGATTGGCTCATCCATAGATTATAGCCTCACCGAATTTCTATGATTAATCCATTCAAACTTATATGTTTTGTTTGAATTCTAGGTTATCCATCTCCTATTGATGCATTCAAAAGATAATTGATGAACATCTACTTTCTTTTCATCGTATCGTTTATCACTTGTAATAACTAATTATTTTTATCATCAAATTGGTTTCTTCTTATTTTAATCAATAAATGCTTTTCATTACTTTATTGGCCTTAATTAAACCATCGATGTGAAATAGGATAATCTTAGGTGATATCAAATATCATTGATAAGTCATATTACTATGAATAATGTTTCTAGTGTCATCATTTAGTCTTTTGAATGTTTCACTGTTATATGTACGTAGTATTTTGGTGTTTGCTACTTATATCGACATAAGTAGTATATAACCGTTAGTCAGGAATAGAATATCATGCAACAGAAGATTAAAAAGGAGAGAACGAGAACAAAAAACAATTGGTATGGAAATGCAATAACAATGAAATCTAAGATGATTGACTGACATGATGCAAATGAACTATGGATCTCATAGTTTACTAAGGTGATCTGTAATTTTGTGTTGAGATACATTCAATTGTTCCTATTTGTGTTCTCGTTTACTGCAATTATGACTAAAATAAGTAGATTATTAGACAATAATGAAATGCTATTGATAATGAAGAATACAAAAGACAATGCAACTATTCAGTTACTTGAAATAATATCACTAACATTGGAATTGTATATTAGCTGATAGTTCCTTACAGTTTACATTGTATCCTATTTATAGTTTATAAAAAATATCCCAAATGCAATAGAATATCTATCATGCTAATAAATCTATCAAGTCATTAGGCTGTTATGAACCATAGGTTAACAAAAAACTCAGATATCAATGGTACAATTAAGAGTAATGAGCACTAGTAGAATGGTGGTACTGAGAATGTTAGATATAGTAGAAGTAGTAGTATAAAATGTTTTATACTATTGTAAGATGCAGTTCCATATATGTGCTTTAATGGTAGATAATACATCCTAATTAAGATCTTCCTTCTTCAAATTCAAAATATTTTCGTTTGTACAATTGATTGATCACTAGGTGGTGATCAATGTCATACATGTCAGATCATTTTTAGTGCAGATCGAATCCTACCGATCAAGTTGATATTGAGCAACTAGTCTTAGTGACTCAACATTGTGTTAACTATGTTGAGATAAGATAGTGATTAGAGGTAGTCAACAGAAAAGCCTGGACCTAATGTTTCGTGCTATTTTGCACTCGTCAGAAAGGCGTACCTGTAATCTTAAGGGAACTTATGCTCCCTGATAAATTCGATCCTGTATCACCCAGTTTTACAGTCAGAGATGTTACCACTGAGCTATGCAAGCCTTGACTGGGATCCTGTAGCACTTAGATGTATTTACAGTTTGTTGATCATTAGGTAGTGATCAATATCATATATGTCAGGTCGTACTTAGTGTAGATCGAATCCTATCGACCAAGTTGAAAACGTAAGTCCAACATTTTCTGTTACATTAACATCTTATCTCAACATAGTGCACATAGTTTCCAATCCCTTAGATTGGTGGTTACACAAATGGATTTATTTGTTTAGGCAGTCAAATCAATACCAATAGAATCGTGTATATTTGCTATTAATTTCTCTAAAATTCTTTTCACTCAACTAAGCATTCTTTCTAATCGACACACTTAGTATGAACTTGAGTTGATCTGAAATTTGTTTGATTCAAGTCGATACTCTTGTTGATCTCAACTGTATATTGATTGTGATTCTTTACAGTTTTTTATTGAATAAAATTATCATTGAATATTACATAATTGAAACTAATAGTTTTTTAAAATTATCATAAAAACTAATTGTCAGTGAATGAATAAAGGGAGCTACTGTTGTTGTTGTTGTTAGTCAATGGGTGAGATTATAATTTATAAACGAATCAAACAGGTATAAGGTAACAGGTCTCTGATTTCAGCGTGAAATTCACTTATCCATTTGAATCAATAAAGTTTTGGCATTTCAATTGATGTTAGTTTGTAATGAAACTGCAATTCAATAGTGATTTGGCTAGTGATGTATTACGGGATAGATTGACTAGAGGAGTAAAGAGAACGTTTAATGCTGCCAACCTCTGCCTATCGTATTCGACCCGATCGATGGTGATTCCTCAATTGAAGGATAAGTTACCTGGTTATGCCACTTCTATGTGTATCTACGAATTCAGCTGCTCTTGTGGAGAAAGCTATATTGGGCGAACTACCAGGTAAATGAACCAACGAGTTAGTGAACACCTCCCTTCATGGTTAGGAAAAGGTTACGTCAAAACAATACGCAGCTCGGTTCTATCACATTTGATCGATAACGGTCATATAGTGGACAGAAACAAGTCGTGCAAAAGTTATTTATCGTATTCCCACTAGTTCTCCTTATGGTGTTCGATCTCGTCTCTTACACATAGCAGAAGCTATAGGAATCCGAGCCAACAAGCCAAGTCTTTGTGTTCACAAGAAATTTGTAACTCCCTTATCTCTCCCTTGGTCTTATGTAATAAATGAATTTACTTATTTATTTATTCTTTTTCTAATTTTCTCTTCGTTTATTATTTTTCTTCACCCCCCCCCCTCCTACCACTTTATTTTCTCTCAACTATACGTTTCATGTTCCAATTATCTGAACATTTCTTATTACACAGATTGAAATCATGAGTCAGTTGAAGCTACACCATCATTGAAAACCTGGAAGCACTTCAGGAAAAACTCCCGAAGTTCTAGTGAAAGGCCGTTACCAGTGGAGTTCAACCAGGTCTGTTGTGAGATATCAGCTCACTGAAGACAATGGTGTATGGTGGTGCAACTTCGTGGATTGGTTGAAGTTAGACATTAACACCATTTGATGCCGGCTCAGTGGTCTAGTGGTTAAGTGCTCGCGCGCGAAGCCAGTAGGTCCTGAGTTCGAGCCCCGAGTGGTGCGGGGTCGTGGATGCGCACTGCCGAGGAGTCCCACACTAGGGCGAAACGGTCGTCCAGTGCTTCCAGGTTTTCAATGGTGGTCTAGCTTCAACTGACTCATAATTTCAATCTGTGAAATTTCTAAAATCTCCACAAAACCCATTCTGATGATTTCTTATTACGTCATCTTATAATTTTATAATTGTTATCTCACTGTCTATATTTTCTCCTAATCATTGACCTATTTCCGATTATGTAACATTGATTTGAACCTTTATTATTCTTATCAAAACTAATTCAGCTGTTGTCACACCATTAATTTGTACTTTTCACGTTTCACTTATTATGTAATCATTTTCATTGTTACTCATTGTCTTATAAACTACCTTGATTGGTTTCATTCATTTCGTATATGCATATAAATACATTACTGTATATTAAAGTAAAGCCTAATGAAGAACTGATCAAAAACAATATTGTTCACTTATATATCTATGTTGTTCTAAATTTCAGTTGATGTCAATTCGTAATGAAAACTCTAATTC